TCTGACCTCTGCTTCCGGTATGGATCTACAGCCTTTCAGCAGTGCATCCAGATGGTCTGGGGATCTTGTTACAATGTAGGTTCTGATTTAGCTAAGCTCTTGCATTTCTAGAGGTCTGGGGGTGGTGCCAGTGGTGCTGGCCCTGGGGCCACACTTCCAGTAGCAAGTGGGTAGAGAACTTTGAGTCTTCAGCAAGGGCATGAGTGTCAGTGCGGCAGGTGCACAGGTATGGGCTGAGTGGGAGTGAGGAAGGGCTTGTACTTCAGAGGCTCACGTCCCTAATGGGCACCTCTGTGGCTTTTGACTGCATCTTATATAAAGCTGATTCTTTCTTTCTGGCAAGGAGTTGGACCTGGTAAAAAGTACTTTCTCGCCATGATCCTCTTGGACCCTAAATCCCACCTCCCTTTCTGCTTCACACCACATTCAGGACTGTCCCCCAAGAGGGTGTGCTGCTTGGGGTGACCTTGTGGGTCTGTGGCAGACCCTGGGTTGCAGCAGTGGCCACTGCAAGTGACATGAAAGCCAGGCCCCAGGAAGAGGCATTGCTGAGTCCTGTGTTCCTCAGGGAACTCTTGAACAGAGGCTGGCAGGGATAGATCCTCTGCAGGGTCTTAAGGGCTTGGCTTTAGGCTCAGAGCCCTGCCAGGCCGTCCTGAGCCTGAGGCATGGTTGCGTGTTAAAACACCACCTGCCTGGATTCCATGCATCAGGACACCAAGCCTTAGCCTACCTCCTTGGCAAGTGGTCCAGAAAGTCCCTCCCTCTATTCTCTCCTGATAGAAACAGCTTCATCCTTCCCTCCTCTGGGTCTGGGTGTTTTTCCAGTGAAAGTGCTAAGAAGCATGTCACTGGGTCACGTGTTAGTCTTAGTTGTAATATACATAGCCCTTGCCCCGCGTCCTGCACAGTGGCAGCTTTGGCTATGGGAGTGTCTCAGTTGTCCTCTCAAGCATTGGCTAGAGCAAACCACCTCCTTCACTGTAAGTTCCTCAAGGTCATGGACTGTCTAGGATTGGATTCCCCTAGCAGGTGACCTGAAGACCAGGATTTTAGCACAAGTAGTTTATTTGGGAAATGGCCCCAGGAAGGAAGGTGCTGGAGAGACCAAGTGAGGCAGGCATGTCATCTGGCAGGTAGCTCCCACCCCAGAGCTGCTCTCCCACCCAGCTGTGGCTGAGGCTTGTGCCAGGGGATGTCAGCTCTGGCACTGTTGACATGCCCCTTGCAGGGACTGAGCAGGCCAGAGACGGTCCTGAGGTGGACAGTCACAGGTGGTGACACTGCAGTGGCAGCCAGGGGCAGTGTGACTTTGCCTTGTAATGTTGGGCTCTCACTGGCCTAGACATGGGTGTGGATGGAGAGCGGGAGGGGAGCTATCCCCCCCCAGTGTTGTCTCACCAGAGTTGAAGGCTTAAGTTCTCGCAAGGCCTTTAGAGCAAAGGTAAATAGGAACTTGGCCCCTTGGCCTACGTCAAGGGCCAGATTGTTACTCGTTTTCAGGCTAAAATGGGGCTAGAAATACCCAAGCAGGGAAAGAAGCCTCTAGAGGGGCCTGGGTGCAAGGGAAGAAAAGCCAGAGGGCTTAACTCTGGTCAGTTTCACTGCTAGAGACTGACTAACCCCAGCACTCTGCGTCCTAGGTGAATGCTGCATGGGGAAGTCACCAGTAGACACTAGGGTAGGGACAGGGCCCAGGCAGGCCCCTCACTCTTCTCAGCCTCCTCCTCTTTCCCGTTCCTCCACCCCTGCCTCTGCGTTCGTCCCTCCCCTTCCCCTTGCAAAGATCCTCCCATCCTCCTCTGATCCTTACATCTGATGCTCCATCCAATCCCCTGATCTTCCTATCTGAGCCTCTGACTCTCCAGGTGCACCTCATGCTCAGGGGCTGGTGCAGGGCTGGAGACCTCAAACCTCCAAGACACTGAACAAGTGGGACACGGGCCTGTGAGAAAGGAGGCCGGGAGACGCATTGCCTTAAGCAGACCAGAAAGGGCGGGGCGGTGGGACTGGGCAGGGGAAGGGGCTGGGTCTCTGCTATTTCTGATTAGAGACACAGCAATTGGTAACAGTGGCCGCCCTGGGGGGAGGGGCTGAGTGTTTGTGGTGGGAGGAAACTTCCTTTTCATTGTTTTCCCTTTTGATTATTTTTTTTACACAAACATCTGTTTAACTTTGTTAATTAGTTAATTAAAAAATAATAACAGAAGGATCTTGGAACCAAGCTGAGTTTGAGCGCTTCTGCCTTCAGACTCCTCCTTTCTGTGGGCCCCACCTCCCAGCTTACCCCCTTTTAGCTCTGAGTGGCTTAAACATCTGTGAGCCCAAGAATTCACCTGGGAGGTGCTTCAGTGCAGATTCCCAGCCCCATCCTCTATCTTCTGATTTAATAGGACTGGGTTTTGCCTGGAAATCTGCATCTTAAACTAACACTGGTTAATTCTAATAATTCTATTTTTAAAAAGATTTAGGGACAGCTGGTGGAGACTGAGAGCCAATGTGGGTCACGTGACCTTATACAGGAGAAAGGTGACAAGAGAGAGGCTTAGGACCCCCAGCCCGACAGCTGGGGAGGATCAGGAGTGGGTGCCCCTTCTGCCGTCTCTGGACATCCAAGGGTATGCCTGTGGCACCTCTCCATCCAGATCAAGGCCACTCAAGGTGATGCCGATGCCTGCCCCCACCATGCCTTCCCCACTGTCATTTCTGCAGGCTGCCAGCACTGCACCTGTCATTCTGTCAGACTGATTACCACACACACCTGTAATTAGACTGAATGGGGTTAGTTTCCAGGCCAGGCAGGCTGGTTCCCCCAGCAGGAGGTCCATGGCAGGCAGCCTGGGACTGATCCCCTACACGGGGCTTTGAGTTACCTTGTGACAAGGGCTTCAAATGCACAAGGGGAACAACTCAGAGGCACGCTGTCATGGAGTATGGCAACGAGATTTAGGGGGGAAAGTCTCTTCTCTGGGGGCTTTATTTATAGCCTGAGTTTGAAGCCTTGTCCCCATGAGACCCCCAGAGGTGTGTGGGGGCTCAGGGTATCCCTAGTCTCTGTCCTATGTGTCAGGGGAAGCGGCTGGGGCAGTAGTTGGCTGCCAGGGCCCTCTCAGGCCATCGGCTCAAAATAACAGGTGCAGGTGTGAGAGCAGGTTGGGATAGGCTGTGCCACAAGGTGGGATGTGCATGGTGGCTGGAAGGAGAACCTGGGGACTCTCTGGGAGGCCATGACTGCTCCAGCATGGAGAATACCCACTCACAGTACTGGGCAAAGTCAGTTCTGGGACCAGGGGAGTGTCCCGAATCAGTCCAGCTGGCCAGGACCAGCTACCTGTGCAAGGGTCAGCACCTGCTACTTCCCTGGGACACTTGAGGGCCAGGATGTCCCCTTGGCCAGAGGGCCTGACATAGGCCTCTGGAGGGGTGGGATCCCCAGGAAGCAGTACTCAGTGTGGCCCACTGGACCCATCCCTGGCTGAGGAAGAGGGTGGGTGGCTGTGAGCTTGAGCAGACTTGTTGGAGCTCACCACTTGGGCCGGACAGGGGGTTCTAGAGTGGCTGCAGGAAAATGGTACCACTAGAAGATGGGCTGGGCCAGGAGCAGTCGCACCAGGTGTGTTGAGGTGGGGAAGCTGAAAGCTAAAACAGACCTTTGTCTGAGGAAGAATGGGTCATTCTGTGTTCTGACCTTGGCTCCTGCCCACACAGGTCAGTGGTTTCCCCCCAGGTGACTCTGTGCTGGGCCTGAGAGGGTTAATGGAACAGGAAGGGGAGGGGTGGAGTGTCACCACTTCTTCTATTCCCCTTGCTTCTCTGACCTCAGCCGCTCTGTGCACCTGCCCCGGTGGGTGGCTGTGTGACCAGCTGGTCAGTGCCTGGGCAGGGCCCTTTATAATGTTGTTCCATCCAACTGGGATGTTCCTGTGTTCCTTTGCATGAACATTCTGTGTCTTGGGCAGGATACAGGCAGAGCTGGGGAATTTCCACAACTATTTTCTGAGTATCTACTGTATGCCAGGCATTATGCCGGACACCGAGATTCAGTGGTGAAGAAACTACATCCCCACCCTCCAGGGACCCATAAGCTCACGAGAGAGGCCAAGGATGAACAGGAAATGACAACACACAACAATTCGGGGCAGGGGGAGGAGCGTGGTTAGAACCCGTGAGGGGATGGGCGCTAAGCTCTGTGCTCAGTGCAGTTGGGATGTGGGGGGTGGGGGGTGGGGAGGGGCAGGGATAGGTGAGGCTGGACCTCAGAGGTCCTGAGCCTGAGTCTCTAGAGGCCACTTGAGGGCATGCCGGGGAATAGGGCCTCTGGGCTAAGTGGAAGGCCAGGCGGAGGGGGGCCAGCTTCCCTAGTGTCTGCCATCTCTCCTACAGGTAGACCCCTACCTGCCCTACGAGTACACCTGTGAGGGGATGCTGGAGCGAATCCACGCCTACATCCAGCACCAGGTAGGCGAGCCTTTGGGGATACCATCCCAAACCCAGCAGGCCCAAGGAGAAAGCTGAGACGGCTTCACTGTCTGCCCTGGTGCTGTGCCCATCCAACTATCAAGCTCTTTACTCTGTTGTCTGGGCTGCCCAGGATCCTCTCTCAAAGCTCCCAGGGGGCTGCAGCGGGCAGACCTGAGAGTCAGCAGGGAGACCAGGGTTGCTGGGGTGGCTCAGATTGAGGCACCCTTGCCCCAGCTTTAGAGCCCCCAACCCTGTAGCATAAACGTGGAAACAAAGACTTTTGTTCTTTTAAAACTCTGCTTAGAATTTGGTGACTTGATTGAGCAAATGGGAAAAACAGAAGATTCCCTTCCCCTTCCCCTTCCCCTTCCCCCAAGATGAGTTGGTGGACTGGAGTAGGGGGTTAAGATCTCTGCCCCGAGAAACCAGGGTAGGGGCACTGCTGTGAAAGCTCAGCCACCCCAACCCTGTGTTAGGGTCCGGATGGGCTGGTGGCTCAGAAGCTGTACTCCCTTCTTCCCCTACATGGTGGGCCTAAAGTGTCTGAAAGTTGTGGGCAGATGGAGGGGGGGAGCGGGAGAACTGCCTGCTCTGCTCCCAGGGAGTCCTGCAAGGTGCCCTGACCGGGAGTCCTGGACCCTTCTTTGTGCCCAGGGGGCCTGAGCTGCCATGAGGGTCACAGATGGCCCAGGCAAAGCACACCTGTCAGGTCTCCAATGGGCGGCCCGGAAGGGAGCCTTGGGCTTAGGGCCCTGGGGCAGGTTGCCTTGTAGCCACAAGACATTTCTACAGATGCTATGTGGGCTCCCTTCGTACCCTGCTCCTGGGTCTGCAAACGTTAGGGGCTGAGAGAGTCTGGTTCTGCCCTGCCTTGTTGTGAGCAGGAAAGCTGAGGTCCCCAGGAGGGCAGATTGGGTTGCAGAGTGAGGGGCCAGGGCCAAGGCTAGAACCCAGGACTCTCGGCTCCCAGCATCTATGGGGACATACTTCATGAGGTAGGCAGAAAAGTGTTTGTGGGGCCGCATAGCCTCTGGAGCTATTCCTGCAAGGAGGGCCTCAGGGTGGGACGGTGGACCCCAGCTAGACACCGAGCAGGGAAGTGGGGTGGGCAGCAGGGGGACTGGCCTGAATCCAAATTCTGCCTCTGCCGTCCAGCCTCAGGGGCCTTGGGCAGGTTCCTTGACAGAAGCCTCCATTCCTCCCCTGCAAAATACCCAGAGGCAGGCAAGCTCACATTTGTTGGGACTCTTGTGAGGAATAAATAAACAATGCGTGTGAGGCTGCCTGGTATTCAGTAAGCGCCCAATAGTGGAGGCGCTCACTGGCATTGCAGGGCCATGCCTGTGGGTGTCTCCCAGGGGCATCTGTGTCCTGTGTCCCCTCCCTAACACCACTCTGCTGCTCCTCCCACAGGACTTCTGTGCAGCCCCAGGCCTCGCCCTGCCAGGCAATAATGTCCCAAAGAGCCCTTTCATCCTGGCCCCCAATGCCACCCACCTCGAGTGGGCCCAAAATGCCAGCTTGGCCCCTGGGGCCTGGCCCCCGGCACACTCCCTGAGAGCCTGGCTGGCTGCCCCCGGGAGGGCTTGCACCGACGCCTGCCTCGACCATGGACTCATCTGTGAGCCGGCCTTCTTCCCCTTCCTCAATGGCCGGGACGCCTTCCTCAAGTGAGTGCCACCCCTGCCCACTCACCCACCTGGCCCTCACTCCCGGAGCCCTGGCCCACAGTCCTGCCAGCGGGTGGGGGGATTGATTGTTCTCCAATGAGTCAGGAAGGATTGAGAAGGACCCTCCAGGGGATCCAGGTCACAGCTGCCACATTCTTGGCAAAGCCCCAAACCACCTCCTTCCACCTCTGCTCTCTTCTGCCTTGTCTACCCCTGCCAGCCGTTTGGACATGCTCTAGCCCAGACCATGAAGGCCACCCAGGTGTTCCTCCTGCTGGGTCAGCCTGGGATCCCAGCCTCACCAGGCCAGGCCCCTCTCCTCCTCACCAAATCTCCCTGGACAGCAGGTGGGATTGGGAACTATAACCCATCTTCTTCCCTGTACGGGCTGGATATAGGCTGGGGACAAAGGAGTAAGTAGTGCCTTTTGGCCCAAGCACTGACACTGCGTGGTGCCCACCAGGCTGCAGGTGCCCTGCGACAGCACTGAGTCGGAGATGAACCACCTGTACCCGGCCTTTGCCCAGCCCGGCCAGGAGTGCTACCTGCAGAAGGAGCCTCTGCTCTTCAGCTGTGCTGGCTCCAGCACCAAGTACCGTCGGCTCTGTCCCTGCCGCGACTTCCGTAAGGGCCAGGTGGCCTTGTGCCAGGGCTGTCTGTGAGGCCACATCTGCCACCTTGCCAGGCACCCATGCTGAGCCTCCTGGCCACAGGAGAAAGCACCAGCAGATTCCAGGCTCCAGCCATTCGCCCTCCCTGCAACTCCCTCAGCCAGGAAGTGGGCGGAGAGAGCCATGTACAGCAGCAGGAGGCGGGCAGTATGGCTGCTGCACTCCTGGGACCCCCCAGGCAGGTGCCTCGCTCCCATCCTGGGGACTGTGGTAACAACACGGCCAAGCAGATGTTGTTCTGGACAGAGGGTCCCCTTGGCCCAGGAGCAGGTGGTCAGAGGTCCCTTGTTTTGTGAAAGACCAGATCTGGAACAGATGGACAAAGGGCTCTGGACAGGGCCTCCTGATTTACAAGAGACAGGGAGGGAGAGGGGCTGCTGCCTCATGTTCCCTGAAGGGTCCAAGGAATGGCCCTCCCCACCTCCTGGAGAGTAAACCTGGGCCTCACTTGCCCTGGGCAGGAACCCATGAGGGAAGCCTCAGGCACACAGGACTGGCCTTGTCCCTCTGCAGTTGCTGGGGTGTAGACAGAGGGGCAGGACCCAGGGGAAGGCGAGGCCAAGGGCCCCTGCCCATGTTGCCTCTCAGCTCCACCATCCTGATCTCTCAGCCTCCTGATTTCCTGACTCCCCCACCTTCCCTCTGCACTTGGGGACCACAGTTAGGGATGGGGACCACCCTGATCCTGGTTGAATTGTTTCTGTCTCCTGCTTGTTCCAATTCTCCTCACTATGGGATTCTCCCCAAACCCATCCTGGCGTGACCTGCATTCCAGACCCTGGATTTGTTTTCAAGGGGCAGGTTTCCATCCCAGCCTCTGAGAACAGGCTCTGGAAACCCTGCCCGAGGGTGTCATTCGCGTACCAGTCCTCCTTCATCCCTGCAGGTGCCCCAGGCCCAGCATCTTTTGCAGATAAGGGTTTGGGACAAGCTATAGCCCATGGCATGCCACCAGCCCCCAGGCACTCCCTACCCCTTTGATGCTGTGCTCATGTTCCAGCCTCTAGCCTCAGTCCATTTCCAGATCCACCTATCTGTCTCTGTGTGGCATGCCTGCCTGTCCCCAGGATGCCCCTCCCCTCCACCCTATGCCCAGAGCCCTGCCTGACCCTCAAGTCAGGCTTTGGAACACTGCCACCCCCCAATTTTATAATCTGCCCCCTCTCCAGCCATCCCCTCCCCAACCCAGGCCTGTTCCTCTACCCTCCCAGGGAGGCAGCCCCAGAACCCAAGAGTTAGTGGAGGGGGCCAGGTCCCAGGATGGGGCTGAAGGTTAGACACTCCCCATGATGAGTCTACCGAGGCCAGGCTGCCCTGCAGCTACAGGAAACCAGGACTGCAAGAAACTGGATGGTTCCCAAGGACTGACCTGTGGGGGAAAGCAATAGAGACACTCTTTTCTCTCTCTTTTTTTAAAAATTTATTTCTTGAAATAATAAATATTTTATTGGGATGTGAGATGCAGAAGAGGAATGGTGCTGTTTCTCGTCTTTTCCTGGGACACGCAGGGCTCGCCCAGGGTGGGGGGCAGAGATATGGAGTCCTCACGTTCTGTTCCATGTCGCACAGAGCTGACAGGCACCAGGGGTCAGTAGAGCTGGGCCCTCCCCACTTCCTGGAGAGTTGCCCTGGGCAGGGACCTGTAAGGGAAGCCACACGCACATAGCTGCTTCAGGCTGCCCTGAGGAAGTCCCTGCTGGTGCCAGAGACCGTGATCATCTCCTGGCTGCCTCAGTGCTATGACTCCAGGGACCCTGACAAGCAGAGTTGTGCCCCACTGTGTTCCTCTCTAGCTGGTCTCTGCGGGTGGCCGGCAGGCTGCAGTGGTGTGAGGTCAGAGAACCCAAATCCATCCTGAGAAGTGACTGGGCTGGACTGTGAGGAAGAGACTGAACTGAGCTCATGTTCACACCCTGTGCTGCACTTCTGGGCCTGGTTGTCATTCAAGGTCCTGTCAAGCCGGTGCTATTATATTTCCATTTTATAGTGGGTGAGGCACAGACAGTTTAAGTAACTTGCCCAAGGTCGCACAGCTTGTAAGCAGGGAGGTGGGATTTGCCCTGAAATTGGGATCGTTTCAAAGTTCCTGTGAGGAGCAATTGACCTGACAGAGTGAAGCCCGGCGTGGGCCCCCGGGCATCTGTGCTCCTGGCTTTGTGTGACCCCATATTTGGGGTGACACCATCAGAGCCTCCTTCTAGCCAAGGTTCTCCACGGGGAGCAGGGGGCGATTTTGCTACCTCCAGAACAACTAGCCCTGTCCAGGGCATTTTTGATTGTCATGACTTGAGGGGAGAGGTGGCAGGCGACAGACATGTAGTGGATAGAGTCCAAGGATGCCGGTCAACACCTTGCAATATGCGGGGCAGCCCCAGTGACATGATTGATCTGGCCTGAAGTGACAACAGTGCTGAGAGCAATGATGAATCCTGTCCCATTGCTCCTTGAATTCTGGCAGGCACCAGAATCCCCTGATTCTGCACTTAGTAAGACACAGGCTGCTGGGCCCCACACTAGGCTTTCAGGAGGTCAGGGCTGGGGCCGGACTGTGAGTCTAATAAGCTCTAGGAACTGCTGCTGCTGACCAGTCCCACACTTGGAGCACTGCCCAGTCTGGACCAAGAGGGCCTAGACTCCTAATCCCTGTGGGTGCTTCAAACACGAGAGTGTGAATAACCAGGTGCCATTGATGAAGTTCACAGGTAACAGCCATCATCGGTGTTCTCTTCTGTCCTAGCACACAACTCCACCTGAGACACCTCAGGCAACCTGATCTGCCTGCAGAGGTCAAAGCTGTGAGCAGTCAGAAGTCCTCCTCACTGCGTGGAGGGAGGCCACCCGCAGCACTCAGGTGGAGGGAGACCCCAAGTCCCCGTCCCTCTCTGTCTCTGTCCCTCTCTGCTGTGCTGTCTGCCCGAGGAGGCTGAGACAAGATCAGCTCCACAAAGTCTTTTCTGTGGCCATATCCAGAAGGAGGGGGCGAGGCTCAGAAACCGGCCAAGGCCTTCTTTTAGGCACTGAGCCTGCTTTAAAAATAAAAAGAAAACGGGCTTTATTCTTTGGAGTGGTTTACGTTCACAGCAAAATTGAGTGGAAGGTACAGGATTTTTTGTACGCCCCTCCCCCACCGTTAGCATCTCCCTACCAGACGCAGATTGTTCATGCAAAGGAACACAGTGTCTCATTACAGCCTGGGAACTACCCTGGCCTGTCATTCTCACCCAAAGTCGGGTTTACGTCAGGGTTACCTCGAAGTCCCACAGCCTATGTTTGGACACACTTCCGCCATTATAGCACCATACAGAGTGTCTGCACTGCCTGTTCCTCGTCCCCCCAGTCCTGGACACCCACTATCTTACCACTCTGGCCATAGTTTTACCTTTTCCAGAATATCATACTGTTGGACTCACAGTACACAGCCTTTTCAGATGGGTGTCTTTCACTTAGAAATGGGTAGTTACGTTTCCTCCATGTATTTTCATAGCTGGATAGCTCATTTCTTTTTCTTCTTCTTCTGGATTTTTCATTTTTTTCTTTTTTTTTTTTTTTTTTTTTGAGCCTGGATCTCTCTCTTTCCCCAGGCCAGAGTAGAGCTGCGTCATAGTAGCTCACAGCAGCCTCCAGCTCCTGGGCTCAACTATCCTCCTGCTTCAGACTCCAGAGTAGCTAGGACTGCAGTCACCTGCCACAACGCCTGACTAGTTTCCTATTTTTAGTAGAGACAGGGTCTGGCTCTTGCTCAGGCTAGTTTAACCTTCTAAGCTCAAGTGACCTCCTGCCTCTGCCTCCCAGGGTGCTGGGATTCCACGCATGAGCCCCCACACCCAGCCTCGGGGGCTCTTTTCTTTTTAGCACTGAATAATACTCCACTATCTGGATGTACCACAGGGTTTTTTTTTTTTTAATCCATTTACCCACTAAAGGATATCCCGGTTGCTTCTAATTTGGGTAATTATGAGTAAAGCTGCTATAAACACTCATATACAAGCTTGTGTGTGTGGACACACATTTTCAACTCATTTGGGTAAATACCAAGGAGCTTGATTGCTGAATCAGATGGTGAGAGTGTGTTTGTTTAGTTTTGCAAGTAACGGCCAAGCTGTCTCCACAGTGGCTGTCCTGTCTTCCATCACCACATCCTCACCAGCATTTGGTGTTGTAAGTGTTTTGGATTTTGGCCATTCTAGAAGGTATGCCGTGGTCTCGCTCACTGTTTCATGTGAATCTCTCTGGCCACATGTGGAGCTTCTTTCCACATGGTGCCACCTGTGCCCTTCTTTGGTGAGGAGTCTGTTCAGGTTTTCTGCCCATTTTTTAGTTTGGCTGTCTATTTTCTTTTTGTTGAGTTTTAAGAGGTCTTTGTATATCAGCCTACTTTTTAATCCTTTTTTTTTTTTTTTTTGCTGTTTTTGGCTGGGGCTGGATTTGAACCTACTACCTCCAGCATATGGGACCAGTGCCCTACTCCTTTGAGCCACAGGCCCTGCCCCTTTAATCCTATCTTAACCTTCTAATGAGGTGTCAGATGAAGCTGGAGGGCCAGCTGGCAGCAGGGGGAGGGAATTTGGAGATTGGACAGAACTTACATCCCAGATGCAAGACCAGACAGACGCCAGCCCTTCTTCCCTAAACCAAAGCTGGCCACCCCATCTTCAGCTCTGGCCACTCCTCAACAGTGGAGGACATTGCAGGCTGGGAGCCAAGCATCGCCACCACCCTGCAAAACTTACAGCTGTGGAAACCTTGCAACCTTGTGGTATCACCTGGGAAGTATCAGCTCTGCACCTGGACCAATCAAACCAAAC